GGCTGGAGGCTTCGCCACTCCCCAGGAGGGCGTCTGCGTCGCCAGCACCGACTGGGGATGGCAGACGGGCTTATGAGGCACCTACTGTGTGCCAGTTACTGCTGTCTGTGGTCTGCGGCTTCCCGAGGGCCTGCGGGCAGGTGGTGCTGCTGTCCTTCTTCCAGGTAAGGAAACCGAAGGGAGAGCGGCCGAGTGACAGCGAGGTCACAGGGGAAGGGCAGAGCCGAGCTGTCGGCCTGACCTCGAGGGAGGGGGCGCTGCTGTTGGTGCGGGTGGGACAGACTCCCCACCCATACACCCACCCACCCACTTCCTCATTCATCTGCACATCCATCCACCTGCCCACCCACCCACCTACCCACTTCCTCATTCATCCACACATCTGCCCACTCACCCACTTGCCCACCCACCCACTTCCTCATTCATCCACCCATCCACCCACCCCTCACCCAGCCACCCTTCCACCCACTTAACCCATCCATCCCTTCACCTGTCCATCCTTCTCTCTTCCTTTCTCTTTTTTTTTTTTCAAGTCTTGTTGATTTACAGTGTTGTGTTAGTTTCTGGTGTACAGAAAAGTGGTTCAGTTACATATATATATATGCACACATATTCTTTTCCATTATGGTTTAGTACAGGATGTTGAATATAGTTCCCTGTACTATACGGTAGGACATTGTTGTTTATCTATTTTATATATAGTAATTTGTACCTGCCAATCCCCAATCCCTAATTTATCCCTCCCCCACTCCCTTTTCTCTTGGGTAATCATTGTTTCCTGTGTCTGTGAGTCTGTTTTGTAAACAAGTTCATTGTGTCATATTTTAGATTCCACATGTATGTGATATCATATGATATTTCTCTTTCTGACTTACTTCACTTAGTATGATAATCTCTAGGTGCATCCATATTGTTGCATATGGCATCATTTTATTCTTTTCTAATGGCTGAGTAGTATTTCATTGCCTATATGTACCACGTCTTCTTTATCCACTCCTCTGTCCATCCATCCATCTTCCCATCCATCAGTCACTAGACTGAAGTGAAAGTGAAAGTTGCTCAGTTGTATCCGACTCTTTGCAACCCCATGGGCTACATAGTTCATGGAATTCTCTAGGTTTGAATATTGGAGTGGGTAGCCTTTCCCTTCTCCAGGGGATCTTCCCAACCCAGGGATCAAACCCAGGTCTCCCGCATTGCAGGCAGATTCTTTACCAGCTGAGCCACAAGGGAAGACCAAGAATCCTGGAGTGGGAAGCCTATCCCTTCTCCAGGGAATCTTCCCAACCCAGGGATCAAACCCAGGTCTCCCCCATTGCAGGCGTATTCTTTACCAACTGAGTCGTCAGGGAAGCCTCACATTGTCCTCACTCACTTGTACCCTGGGCCGTAGCAGGGAGCCCTCTGGGCCCCAGTTCCCCCTATGGTACAGAGGGGCCCACTTGAGGCCCCCAACTCTCAGGCTGAGGGTGAAAGTCACCTCCCCAGCTCTGCCCGCTGCCGGGGCCACTGAGCTCCCTAGTGTGCATCCAGACTCTCAGTCCGAGCAGCCTGCTCGTCCCCTCCTCCGGTCGTCCCGAGTCTGCCTCCGTCACTCCCCATCCGGGCTCCTCCTTGGTGCTCCCAGACCCCTCCTGTGTGATGTGGGCCCTGATCGGGTGGAACGCCATGTGAGGCCGAGGCCACAGGGCTCCGTGGGCAGGGCTGTGACTATATCTCTGAGGTCCGAACAGGGCTGGACACTGCACCGGGCTGGAGGCGCTCCTGGAATCGTCACCCTGGGGTTCCGGAGTCCTTCCTCGTGTGTGTCCTGTCTTCCACCTGCTGCAGCTCCGGTCAGCTTCCTTTTTGGAGCTTCAGGGCGGCAGTCAGGAGGGTCAGGGGAGTGCAGGGAAAGGCTCCTGGCCCAGCTCAGAGGGCTGCACGTGCTCCTACAAAGCTTCTCCCAGTTGTTTTGGGCAGCTGAGCTGTTGATGGAGAAGCTGGAAGCAGCTTGGCTGGGAGTGGAGAGGAGAACAGCTCCTTGGAAGAGAGGAAGGAGCCGTTACGTGAGCACTGCGGGTGGCTCTGCCGCCATCTCCCCCGGAGCAGGATGAGGAGGGATGGAGGCAGGACGACTCTCCTCTTTACTCTCCATCACAGGAGACTTGCGGTTGGACGGGGAGCTCAGAGAGGACCACCCGAACCGCCACTCTCCCTGGGGACCCCCTGCCCCACCGGGTGAGATGGGCCATCCCCATTTGTGGGGTGAGGTGCCTTCGGGAGCCCCAGAAAGTCTCCCTCACTCAAACATCCCTCCTAGGGCTTCCAAGTGACCTGAAAACAGCATTTCCCCTGGGAGGTCAGGAGCAGCGTGTCAGGATGGAAGGGGTCTCAGAGCCACTGGGATCAAGCCCTGATGCCTAGGTCTCACCCTCTGTGCTCTCAACTGTGGAGAATGGGAGGGTCCCCGGGCCCCACCGCTGACTCCAGGTGGGCCCGGAGAGGTGCCCTCTTTGTGAGCAGAGTCTGAGGGGGCCCCCCCACCCCATGCAGGTGCGGTCAGGCCAACACCCCCCGCATACCTTCTTCCTCGCCTTGTTCATCACCGACAGACGCCTTCCTGGAGGGGCAGGGCACCTGGGAGGGGTCCTCTCCACGTGACCCTCCCCATGGCGGGGTCTTGCCTAATCGCTTCACCGTCCCACCCAGTGGCAGCTCAGGCCTGGACCCGGGGACCCGTCTGCTGGAGGTGGGAGGCCAGGGTGCTGACCCCTGAAGGAGACATCCCCACCCAGGATGCTTCTCACGTTTTGATCAGCTGACTCCACGCTGGCTGGGGAACTGAAGCGAAGCCCCCTTGAAAGGTGGATGGGTCCCTTGCCCTTTCAGAAGCCAACATGTTTGAAGGGACCTGGAATCTGATTGTTCACCGATGGAGGCCAAGCTGCCGCACATGTAAATTTCCAATTAAAACAGAAATTAATCCTCTCCCCCAACTACCTGCTATCTCCAGCCGGATGACAAAAGTTTTATTCTGCTAATTAATGTTATCACCCGTTAGCTTTATTTACATAAGCAGATATAATTCACATGGCTTTGCAGAAGCTGATGGGGAAACTTAAAAAAATTTTTTTTTAAGTTAAAAAAATTAATTACCTTGATCCTCCCTCTTGCATTCTAATCACAGACTTGCAGGGTTCCTCTTTGGTGCTCCCCGAAACCCCCGGGTTGGCGCCTTCTTTGATGAGTGGGAGCTTGTTCCAAACAGAGAGAGGAAAAAGTTGAAAATTGAGCAGCTTGGAGGGGAAGCCAGTACCAGTCTTCATATGAAAGGCCCGATGGATGTGATAATTATTTACGGTTTCTGGCGGTGGGTATTTTTGTTACCCAGTTAAATAGACTCCAAATACCACATTAAAATCTTGCAAAGATCCTGGCAGATTAATAAATCACAGCAACCGCTCGGCATTTGGCATGGTTTGGGGGGAAGTTTGAGTCTTTGGTGACTGCACCTCCAGTCGCCTCCCTGCAGGATCCACGTCTGGGGGTCCCCTGAGGGGAGGAGCAGCTAAGAGGCGTGGGACAGGACGTCCCGGCCCCTGGGCTGGAGATTTCGTCCCTCCAGGGCTGTGTCGAGGACCCCGCTCAACTGTCCCTTTTCCCCAAGGAAACAGAGACTCAGATGGTCTAACAGGCTGCCTGTTGACTGGAGACTGGCATAAAATATTACACGTTGTCCTGGGTGGGAGCCGTGAAGTTGGTGTGACAGTCAGTCATCAGACACTTGGAGAACTGTGCTCTGGATCAGTGGTCCCAGCCTTTTTGGCCCCAGGGACTGGCTTCGTGGAGGACAACTTTTTCACGGCTGGGGTGGGGGACGGGGTATGGTTCAGGTGGTAATGTGAGGGTGCAGAGCAATGGGGAGCGGCTGGTGAAGCTTTGCTTGCCTGCAGCTCACTTCCTGCTGTGTGGCCCGGTTCCTAACAGGCCACTGATGGATCGGTCTGCAGCCCCTGGGTTTGGGGACCCCTGCTCTATATGACCTGTGGGTGTGAAATTTTTAGTCTCGGCAGATGGAATCAAGACGAGGTCATAGCGGAGTGGGGTGGCCACTGATTGATGGGCTGCGTCCTCTCAGAAGAGGGAGGGCTGGAGACAGACACCGAGGAGGATCGGCCCGTGGAGACACAGAGTCTGCGGGAAGAGGCGGAGACTCAAGCCAGGACCTCACGCCAAGGAGGCTGGAAGAAGGAAAGGGCCCTCCCTACCCCAGGGCTTCAGAGGTCCGCTTCTAACACCAAGTTTCCAGATTTGTGTCTCCAGCCTGGGTGGGGATGAGTTTCTGTTACATGAACTCACCCAGACTGTCCTAGGAAAGCAACACAGCTCTGCAGAGTTCCCTGTCTGGAGTGGGAGACAGACAGACAGACCGTCAATACTCTTGGAAGCATCAGGAGTCTCCTGGGGTGGGCGAGGAGTGCAGGCTGCCTGCTCCAGCCCGGGGGTCAAGGAGGGCTTCCTGGAGGAGGGGAGGCTGGGCTGAGGCTGGGTGCTGGCAGTCAGCTGCGGGCTCAGGATGGTGGTCTCTGCACGGTGCCCCAGCCCCACACCTCTGCCTCTGCCACCCTGTGACCCGGCCGCACTTCCACTGATTCCCCCTTGGAGGTCCGAGTCCACCTGGGGACCCCACCCGTGGCCCTGCCCATGGCCCTGGCTGTGGTCCTGGGAGGCCCTCTGGGCACCCAGCCCTCCGCTCCGCCTTTCAGCGGCCTCCCACTCCAGCCACAGGGCTGGTGCTTCTGCTTCCTTCCCCCACCTGACCTGAAGCTCCTCGGGGCCTCACTCCACACTGTGTTCCCTGCCTGTCCGCCTCCCACAAGTGCCTGGCAAAGGTTGGCCAGACTCTCCGACGGGGCCCCTCCCCCTGGGGGGTGCGGGAGTCCAGGGCACCCTTGGGTGCCAGCCTGGCTCTCCCCAAGTCTGAGCCCTGGGCTTTGTGGAATCCGCCTCCCCTCCAGGGCCTCACGTGCCTCAGGGCTGACGAGGCCACGGGGAGGCCTTGGGCAGCGCCGAGCAGCCGTGGGGCCTGGGCCGTGCGCCCATCCCCTGTCCCAGGTCAGTTCAGTTCAGTCGCCCAGTCGTGTCTGACTGAGACCCCCTGGACTGCAGCACGCCAGGCCTCCCTGTCCGTCATCTACTGCCTGGCGGGGGGAGGCCTGACCGTGACCGTCCCCTCCCGCCAGCCAGCCTGCATCTGGGACCAGACGTCACTCTGATCTGAGGCTGGGGCTTCTGAAGAGCTCTGGGCAGGTGAGAAGGGACAGGGCTTCTTTCAGGGGACATGAAAGTCAGACTAACTTTGAAGAAACCCCCTCTCCACCCCCCATTCTCCCCCCCCCCTCCCCCGCCCAGTGCGGAGAGCAGCTGCCAGAGTCTGAAACAGCGTCCTGCCCCCAGAGAGATTTGGGTGTGTTTTTTTTTCCCTCCTTGAATGAAGGAAAGAAATGATGCTGAGTGGAGACTAATTACCCAAATTGAGGCGGAAATCAGTCGTGAAAGGGGGAGGAGAGGAGATCAGCTAGGAAGTGCCCCCACCCAAAACCGCCACTCTGCCTTCTCCTCCCGGTCGGGCCCTGGGATGCTGTCATCAAAGTGGTTCTGGCTCTGATGGCCTGGCCCCTCCCTGCCCCCAGTGAGGGCCCCAGGGGTTCTCATCTCCCACCTAGGGTCTGCCAAAAAACAAAATTCTACAAATTTTGCCTCCTAGCTTCACAAGGGTTTCCCAGGTGTCCCTAACAGTGAAGAACTTGACTGCCAAAGCAGGAGACCTCAGAGATATGAGCTTGATCCCTGGGTGGGTTAGATCCCCGGGAGGAGGGCATGGCAACCCACTCCAGTATTCATCCTAGAGGATCCCATGGACAGAGGAGCCTGGTGAGCTACAGTCCATGGGGTCACAAAGAATTGGACACAACTGAAGCGACTTAGCATGCTTAGCACTAGCATCATAAAATGGTAAAAATATCTTAAAGGGGCAGAGCCATAGAGTTCTTTTTCTTTCCTCTTTTAAAATTATACTATTTTATTTTTTGGACCAATTCGACCAGAAAGACTGAATGACACCTGTGAGCAAGTGCAAGCAAATGGAGCTCACCCATCACTGTCTCCAAGAAGACCTTGCCGACACGTGGGGCGTCTGGAAATTCTCTTCTTTTTCGGTGGAAGCTGCGGCAGGGATGTGGCTGTTTGCACGCTGACCCCATACCCCATGAGGGCCTTGGTACCTCCCTGAGGGGGCTGTTCTCAGGGGCAGAACCACTGAGTTGTTTGAGGAGCCTGGAGCCCATTTTTGAGCTTCAGGAAGTGGTTCTGTAAATGCCTGGGTGTGGAAGGGGCAGGTCAAATGTGAGGGGCCCACTGGGTCGCCACTTCAGAGTCACAGTGGATCACGTAGACGGCCAGAGGGATCCCCGTGAGGAAAACCAATTAACTCTAAAGAAAACTTTTAACCCCAAAATAATTTATGGAGATATAGTTCACAATGATATATAGCTTATGGGCTTCCCTGGTGGCTGAGCTGGTAAAGAATCCATCTGCAATGTGGGAGACCCTGGTTCGATTCCTGGGTTGGGAAGATCCCCTGGGGAAGGGAAAAGCTACCCACTCCAGTATTCTGGCCTGGAGAATTCCATGGACTGTATAGTCCATGGGGTTGCAAAGAGTTGGACACGACTGAGCGACTTTCACTTTCACTTTCATAGTTTACATACGATACAATCTGTCCACTTGCAATGTACAATTAATAGTTTTAAGTATATTCACAGGTGTGCTGTCATTTTTAGAACATTTTCATCACTTCACAAAGAAACCTCAACACCGCCACCCCTCAGTCCGCATCTTACTCCCTTCGCAGCCACGAGTCTGCCCTCAGCTCTGAGCATTTCCTGTTCCGGGCGTTTCCTACAAATGGAGTCACACAAGTGTGGTCTCCTGTGGACGCTCCTCTTACTGAACCTCTTGTTGTCAAGGCCCATCCACGTGGGAGCCTGGGTCAGGGCTTCATCCTTTTTTAAAGGCCAAATCACATCCTGCCGTGTGGATGGGCCCGTCTTCACCAGCGCCAGGTGACAGGCCTTCGGGCCGTTTGCACCTTTGTCTGCTGTGGATGCGGCCGCCGTGGACATCCATGTACATGTGTTTGTGTGGATGTGTGCGTTCGTTTCTCTTGGGTACACACCTCGGAGCGGCACTGCTGGTCACATGGTGACTCCACTTTACCTTTCGGAGGACTTACCAGGCTTTCCCAAAGCAGCTGCATCATTTTCCACCCCCACCAGCTGTGTGTGAGGGTCCACTTTCACCTCCTGACCAGCACTTAGCATCTGTTGTTTGATTCTGGCCATCCTAAAGGGTGTCATGTGGCATCCCATTGCATGTTTAACAATTAAGCCAAACTTTCACAAACCTGCTTGAGCCCTGGGCCCCACTCTGAGGAGCCAGGGTGTAGGACAGGGTGCAGCCCCCCGTCACCCCTCAGGACACGCTGGCTTGGCCCAGGGCTGCTGTGGGTGGGTGTGACCTCGCGAGTTGGCACCCAGGGCCTGCGTGGGGCATTGCTTAGTGTCAACTAAACCCAGGAATGAACAAGCAAGAGGGTGAACTGGGGCGGGCTTGGGTTTCCACACGGCCTCCTGAGACTGGAAGGAGCACGGCGCTGGAGGTGGCCCGGGAGACCCTGGGCAGCGGCTGAGAGCCGCAGGGCCCTGGGGACTCCTGGGTGTGCAGTCCTGGCCGCTCTGCCTCCGTTTCCCCAGCTCCTTGGTTGGCTTCCCTGAGAAGCAGACTCTGTGGGTTGGTGATGGGGGTGCTCGTCCTTCTTTCGGGGGCCCGAGGGGGGCGGTGAGCAGTCGGTGCCGCTGTGATGGGAGTGTCCAATCCTAGGAAGGAGGCAGTGGTGGAGTTTTAGGTGCCAATGTGGACCATCAGAGAGGTGATTTCTCAAGGGCATCCTTCGTGGTCCGTTTCCTGCAGGCTCTGCAGGGGGAGAAGCAGGGAGAGCTGGATCTACTCTTGCACCCATTTGCTGGATGTGGAGATTGAGGGCAAGCGAGCATGAGGGGTGTGCCTTGGGTCTTTCCTGTCGCCTTTTTGGCCAGTTCTCACCTCCTGGGTGGACGATTTGGCAGCATAGGCTGCGGACAGCCCAGCCTCAGTGATGTAACAATGAAAAGGCCTGTTTCTTTTCACTCAAAGTTGCTGCTGACTGGTAGGGGTGAGGCTGGGGGCTGCTCCACAGAGTCAGCCGGTGCCCCAGGATGACAGAGCCCCACCTTCTAGAATGCTCTGAAGGGGGCAGCGCAGCGGGGAAGACAGAACCACCAGCCGGTCTGTACTTTGGCCCAGAAGAGACATGGCAAGTCTCCATGCGGCCCATTGGGAGGTGGGAGGTAGGCAGAATGTCAGGGGGCTCCACTGTCCTGTCACAGCCTGGCAAGAGACTCTCAGGGAGCCTGTTTCCTTAGCTGCATGGATGGGGGGCCCCATCTACTGCTGAGGTGTGTGGACCTGAAAGACAGTCGTGGTAGAGTCAGAGGGTGCTTGATCCATGCCTCGAGTCCAGACCCAGGCCGGGGGCTCCTGTACCCTGTGGAACTTGGGGTGGGGAAGTGGCTGTGGGGGGCGGTTCTGCAGCAGCCCGCGTCACTGGGGGCGGGCAGGGCCCTGAGGCTCAGAGCTCCTCTCTGGAAAGTGACATTTGGAAGGAGGCGGGCCTGGGGCTCACTTAACATCTGAGTGCTGTGCTGAGTGCTCCCGAGGGGTGGCTGGCAGTGACATTAGCTGGGATGCAGTTGGCACAGACATGCAGGCAGGATTTAGGGGTCCAGAGGGGGCTTAGGAGGAGGCTTCTTTGTCCTCCAGCCCCTGCGGGGAGGGAGGGAGGGAGGGAGGCGGGCCAGGACAACGGCCTGGGGTCTGGCCCTCCGCCCTTTCCCGCAGCCCTGGCCCTCAGTCCCCAGACTGGACCACGTGCTGGGTCAGGGCTGATCCCACCCCTCACTCCACCAGCTGTCACCCAGCCTCCTGGGTGACACCCCAGCCTGACCTCTCCTAGGGGCCCCCTCCCTCCTCCACCCCTGGGTTATCTGCCCCCCTTCCCCACCAGGCCTAAGTGCTAGGGGGCCCAGGGGTGGTCTGCGCTGCAGCCCCACAGGCTCCGAAGAGGGCGGCTGGTCTGAGGACCTGGAGTCGGGGGCCGGCTCCCCCCCGACCCTGTGCTTTGATTCTGAGGAGCAGAGCAGTCCCTCTGCAGTCTCCCCACCCCCAGTGACCCCAGTGACCCCCGTGACTGCAGAAGAATCACACCCGCAGCCCCTTCCCTACCCCAAGCCACCCTGGAGCCCCGTGCCCGGGGATCTGCTCTGTGTAGTGTGCCAGCCGACACCTTATACATGCTGTGGGGGTGGAGGCGGGAGGGATAGGGGCCAGGGCCCCGGCCCAGGCCAGCTGCAGAGTCTGAGCTGGGCTGGGCTCCGGGCCCTTCAAGGGTCTTCCCAGACTGGCTCCCAAAGGAAGTCCCGGCAGTCCCCGCCACAGCCTGCGGCTGGGTCTGTGCTGGGATCTGTCCAGGAGGAAAGGACTCAGCTCCTGCTTGCTCCGGTGTCGGGCAAGGAAGGCCTGAGACAACGGCCCAGGCCTCACCTGGCTCCTGACCCCTGCCCGGGCTGCCTGGCCTGCAGTTGAGGGTGCGGGTGTCTCTACCTCCTCTGCGGCCGCCTCCATTGGGGCACGTGCCCTGGGGCCTGGGAGCGCGTCCTGCCTTCTTGGTGAGTCCCCCCAGCCTGTGGGGATGCTTCCCGAAGCTCTGGCCAGCTGGGCCTTGCCCTGGGAAGCTACCTCCTCTGTGTGTCCCTGGCCATCGCTGGTCACTGCAGCCTCCGCTGCGTCTCCTGCATCTCCCAGAACAACACCTCCAGGGAGAAGGCAGTGCCCCTCTAAGGCCCAGCGCTCTCCTGCCTAGCCCCAAGGAGATGGGCCAGGCTGCCCAGGCCCTCAGGCCTGCATCTAGGCTGATCCCGCCGCCACAGCCCTGTCCCTCGTCCTCGCCGACACCAGCTGGCCTGTGAGGCCGGCTCCAGGCTCACTTCCTTGGGAGGCTCTGCCCTGGCACCTGTGTGGGTGAACAGGCCCCTCCATGTCCTGAGCCTTCCTGGCACCTGGCCAGTCGCACCCAGCAGGGAGCCTGGAGCAGCAAAGAGTCCTTTCCCACCAGGGGCCCAGGGGTGCAAAGCCATCTTTATCCATCAAACCTCATGTTCGGCAGTGACCCGGGGACTGCAGAGGGCACCCTGCGGTGGGCAGGAGGTGCCACAGGTGAGCAGAGTGACCTTGACTTGAGGCTAAGCCTCATCCCTGACCCTGACGTTGACCCTTCTCGGGTGAGGTGGCGGGGCCAGCCGAGGGGCTGGGTGTCAGCCAAGGACAGTGGGGCCGTGGCATCACGGGGAGAGCCGGCGGAGGTGTTGATCTGGGAGCCCGAGCAAGCTGGGCTGGAGTGAGAGGAGGAGCCCGGAGCCTGCTGGTCAGCCAGGCTGGTGCCTGCAGCTGCTGTGATGAAGGAGGGAGGAGACGCCCCTGAGAGATGCAAGGAGGAAGATCTGCCTGCTCCTTGCAGGTGGCGGCCGATTGCCTGGGACACAGGTGGCCAGGGGGCAGGCCCATCCAGCACCCGGGGATCTTTGTAAAACCCAAACTTCAACTTGTGGAGTGGGAGCAAGCCTGAAGGGGAAGATGGCCTGACAACCACACGGCCAGAAAGGCTTCTGTTTGGTGTGGGGCCGGATGGGTGTAGGGGAGACACCCTATCTGTTTCTCAGGACTAGATGCTGGATTAGCACATGGGCAGTGTTTGTGCCACAACAGAGTCTTGGGGACCTTGTGCAGGACCGCTGTGTACAGTTGCTCAGGTTGCACATCTCACAGTTCTAATGTGAATGGTCACCCCGGGGCCATGTGACCTTATTTTGTGTGAGGATTGAAACTGAGGGCTGGCCCAGGTTCTGGCTCTTCCCCACTAGGCCAGTAAATGCTGATGCTGCTCCTCCTTTAGGTCTGCCCAGTTCCAGGGTCCCCACGTCTGGGAAACCTTCTCAGAGTGTCCCTCCCACCCTCCACCCCGGGTAAAGCTAATTGCTGCCTCTTTCATTGTGACAGGCCACAAATGTCCCTGAGTCTCTCCTTTCCTGTGTCCCTGTCCCTGTGGAACGTGAGCTTGAAACTCTTCCCATCGAGAGGCAGAGTCAGTTTTCCACACTTTGATGGTTTTGGCTCTTTGGCCTGCTTTGGCTGATGGGACACGTGACCAGGAAGAGGCTTGAAAAGTGCTTCAGCTTTAGAATGAGTGTATCATGCAGCCCCTGGGAAACCAGGGATGACCACATGCATGAGCCTGAGCTAGCCTGCTGGCTGATGAACAACACACGGACCAGTTACCTCTACCTCCCCTGTGGACAGCCAGCCAGATGCTGAACACAGGAGTGAGGCTAACGATGGCATGCACACACCTGGACCCAGACAGCATCGGTGGTGCAGAGGCGAACCTTCTGGCGGAGTCCTGTTCCCAGGACCCACTCACAGGACGGTGAACAAACGATTGATTGCTGTTTGAAGCTACTTAATTTTGGGATAGTTTTAAAGCAGCAGTAGCTGACCAATACTTCTGAGTTCCCACTGCACTTTATTCCCACATCACTGTTACTGCTTGGATAATCCCTGTAATAGTGACATTACCGTGGTTAAAAGAACAAGCTTCAGTTCTGATGAATCCTGGTCTGTGGCGTGAACATGTCAATTAACGTCTCTGGGACTTAGATTCCTCATCTGAAAATGAAGACTAAAACACGAGACTCCAAGCTCTCTGGCCGTTGTAATGGTCAGACTCAGGAAGAATTTGCAGTCTTAGTACATGGTCGGTAGCTAGCATTCTCCCCTGCTGATCTACACACGACCCCTTGTGGCTCGTCCCATGGTCCCTGGGACCTGGACAGGCAGGGCCTTGTCTGACCACAGGGGTGCTGTGCCAAGAAAGCCCATGGCTCAAATATCCTTGCTTCTCTGAGGCCCCTTCCCCCATACCCCGGGGACTCAAACGTCCAGGGCGAGCTGCTCTCCTAGTATTTCTGGGAAGACTTTTATTCTTCGTTCATCTTGGCATTTATGGTTGACATTCCAAGAACAGTCAGACAAGATGAATGTCCCGTCTCCAGGACTCAGGGGTGACTTGCCTCCCTCGCTGTAAATTCAGTTCTACCTATTGACACCGTCAGGCATGCCTGCACCCGGCGGGGAGGAGGGGCGGCAGGCGCTGGTCTGCGGGGGACCGGCTACTGGAGGCAGATAAGCCCCTTGGAGCGGTGCACGGATGCCTGGCTTGGGGAGCCCGGCGTGTGTGCACTGCTGTCCACGGCGGCCGTGCAGCCTGTGCGTCACTGAGTCTCGGGCCTGAGTCAGTGTGTGCAGCCTGGCTGGAGGCTGAGGCCTCAGCCTGTCGCTGTTACCATTGCTCTTGTGTCGTGACCTCTGACTTCGGTTGCAGTTCCTGTTGGACGGGGTGGTACCCTGTGGCTTGCACTTAGCCTTCATCCACCCGCACACTTAGGTCTAGGCTGGTGGTGCAGAAAATGCATTTGCACACGCATGTGTTCTCATAGATTCAGACACACACATACATAATCACACATACAGAAACATACGCTGTTATGTGGACACAGTTGGTGGCCGTGGAGAGCCAGGATGCAGCCTTGCAGCGACTGTCACATGTGCAGAGCAGGTGAACCCACCTCTTAGCCTTGGGGGCAGCCTTTCCAATGAGGTTTGTGGGGTGAGGGGCCCTGAAGTTGCCTCTGGCCTCTCCCAGGTACACCTGCTTGAACATTTCCTGGGCCAAGAGGCCACCTCCCGTGCCAGCTGACTGTCCCTCCTGTTGCCAAGGGCAGGAAGGGCTCCTGAATCCTCTGAGCTGGCCTTTCCAGCCTGTCCCCGCCCGGCTGCCGGCCCCTGGGCCCTCGCCAAGCCCGGGCTGGCACAGGCTGGCAGCTGATGTGTTTATTTGCCTGGTGGCGGGGGTGGGCGAGAAGGCCGGGCGGTAATTGGTACATTTTGTAAGCAATCATCTGCTGGCACCTTCTGCCTCAGCGTGTGGGCCGCCCAGTCCCGTTAATCATGGTCTGCGGCCCCAGGCCCCTCTCCTGACAGCCTCATTTCTCTCCCCTGGAAGGATAGAGCCATCCCGGCCCCTAATGGTATTATCTGTTATTCCTGGCCACCCTGCTTGCTCCGGGCATGTGGCCAGAGCCAGGGCCTGTGTGCAGGGTGGGCAGGTGGGCGTGTGGGTGGGCAGGGGGCGGCAGGCAGGGGATGGCTCTGGACCAGGGCTGTGGCCAGCCAGGCCTCACTGGGGCATCAGAGACCTCGTCTTCAAGATTCTCTGCATAGCACTCATCTGTTTCCGCAGGAAGGAGACAGGTGGGAGAAGCGGAGGCCCCCCACCACGAGGTCATGCAGTTGGGCAGGTGACATGGACCCCAGGTCCCCCTGATTACAGCCCCTCTGGTCAGACCGGCTCTGGACTCTGAGCTCACTGCAAAGTGAAAATCATTATTAATACTGTCCAGATGCTGAAGCTCCCCCTCAGTCTCCTCACCTTTGAGAGGGACCCAGGACACAGCCCAGCATGGGACCTGGGGTCCGGGGGCAGTGAGTGGGTGGCGTCCAGCAGGGGTCTTGAGGAGAAGTGCGTCCGGCATCGTTGTCAGTGTTGTTTGTGACGAAATGATGGCATGTGTGGGAAAGACGAACCCCATGCAATTAATAAGCAGCCCAGAGTGTGCCCATGTGATTAATTCCTTCATGGCTCTGCCTCACACGCACAACAGCATCAGAGGTGCTAGGTCTTTGCAGGGTGTAGACCCCACCCACCCTGGGCCCCTCCTGGGTTCACTCAGACTTCTGCGTTCTCCTCCTGGGCCAGAGGCTGGGCGGGGGTTAATAGGAGAAGAGAGAAGGAAACAGGATTTGTATTTCTGGGTGAGAAGTTTCCCACATCCAGCCGGCTCTCCAGGCTGAGACCACTGGGTGCTGGCTAGACCCCTCAGCTGACCTCCTTGGGAGCCAGGGTGGCTAGGCTGATGGCCCCCAGGAGCCAGGAGAGAAGGGGCAGCAGAGAATGAGATGGTTGGATGGCATCGTCAACTCAATGGACATGAATCTGAGCAAATTCTGGGAGACAGTGAAGAACAGGGAAGCCTGGTGTGCTGTGGTCCTTGGGGGTGCAGTCGGACACGACTGAATGACTGAGCAACCACAGTGGCAAGAGGCCGTGGTTGAGGGTTCAGCAGGCGTAGGGTTGAGGCTCCCTGAGCCTTGCTGGGCAGGCCTCCCTGGCTTCTCCCCATAGCCTGTTGCATGCACTCCCCACTTGGGTAATGCCTCTTGGGGTCCACAGAGCAGGCCTTCTGGGACAGCTCTGCTCCATGGGGCCTGTGGGTGGTCTGATGCATGCAGTCCCTGCCCTCCACCTCTGGGGCTCTGCCTCAGTTTCCTCTATGAGGACAACTGCTGTGGCTCCCTCAATGGTCCCCTGCCTGCAGCCTCATCTGCCCCCTCCACCAGTAGTCACAGTCATCTTTACCTTTACCATCTTTACCATCTCAAACTCTACTGCGTTGTCATCTCCCCCCGGTCTGAAAGCACCAACGGCTCCTCGCTCCCACCCTGGTGGCAGCTGAAGGTGTGGGTTTCTGGAGCTGCTCTCCTCTTCCAGCCAACTTCCTCCCCCAGTCTTCCCCAGTGCCCTGCTCTGATGCTGGCCCCCCAGCTCCCTCGTGCATTCCTGCAACCCCTTTCTCTGTGGAAAGCAGATCTGAGTCATCTATAGCTCCCTAGCTCCTTGGTCCTCAGACTGGACTGGAGGGACTCGGGTGACAGGCTCCCAGTGCTTCAGCCCCATCCCCCATCAGCCGCCTCTGCCCCCAGACCCTACCACAGCAGGTTCCTCAAACTGTGCTCTGGGTGGGAGGAGGCAGGGAAGGAGGGGCAGGTAAGCTGGGAATCGCTGCCTCCTGGGGATTCAAGTGCTATCAGCCTGGTGCAGCCCTGCTAGGCCTTCAGTAGGAGTCCCACTGGAGCCAGTAAATTCCAGACCTCGAAATCCTGAGCTTGGGCTGCTCTCTCCTGGCATAGAGGGTGACTTGTGACCCTCAGACCTCCACACATTCTTGTGTCCATACTCCTGGGCTCCCTTCTCTCCCCAGATGGCTGCCAGGGGACTTCTGGGGTCACCTGTTGAAGGCCCCCTGAGAGTCCTTGTCTGTAGCTGAATCATCTCAAGGATTGAGTCTTGCACATTCCTGCTGGAGACCTGAGGGTCCCCTCTGACCACAGGAGTTGATGCCCTGGTGCTTGAAAGTGGGCGAGGGTGTCTCCTAGCTTGGAGTTGGCCCACTGTATCCAAAGACATTCTAGGCTTGAGCTAGGAAGCTCGTCTTTGAGGAAGACAAAGGTCCTTTTGGTGCTGGCTTTGTCAGAGGGGTTCTAGGGCAATGCTGGGGGACCAGGTCCCAGATCTGATCTATCACTGGTGCAACAGAAACTCTGACCAAGAACCTGGCTGCCTGGGTCAGCTCTGGGTCCTCCAATCATTACTGTGTGGCTTTTGGTAAGTTACTTAGTCTCTCTGAGCCTGTCTCCCTATCTGCAGATCTGGGAATCTCTACATTTGTTGTAACTTTATAACAGGTTCAAGGTGCTTAATATATAAAAGCCTCCTGAATTTAACTAGTTCTGTTGGTGAGGCTTCTGGGGTCCCATCCCCAAGTGTGATGTGGTCCCAGCCACCAGGGCCAGGCCTGGTGTTTGCATGCCCCCTTCTAAGAGCTGTGGTCATAGCCTCCCGTTGGGGCTTTGAAAAGGAATGGGACCACTCCGTCCTTTTGCAGAAGAGCAAGGCTTTCTAAGATCAAGCTGCGAGGCTCTGATACAGTCTCAAAGGGGTATCGATCTGTCAGACATGCAGGCTGGCAGCAGGCAGCACTCTGCAGCAAAAGCCGCTGGAGAGGGAGATGAAAGCCCCACCTGGTCGGCTGTCTTGTGTTCTGAGTCGTCTCTTTGACCCTGTAAAGAGGGTCAGGCTCCAGTGCTTTTGAGGGTGGCTGCTGCCAAGCCCTCCTCCAGAACACCAGGGAGCAGCTGTGGAGGCCGCCACCTCTCACTGGTGGGTCCGGGCAGGGTGGACATCCGCCACTGGATAGCCTCAGAAGGACAGCAGGGTTAGACAAGTCAGCACCACGGACAGCACCTCCAGAAGCCGGGACTTGCTGCTGGCCGTGAGCCGGCTGCTCCAGAGGCGGACAAGGTGCCCGGGGCAGCAGAGGGCGGGCCTGGGCACGCAGACCTCTTATGGGGCTGTCGCAGGTATAGAGATGCTGGGCGACCAGCTTCTGGTCAGATGACCACTGGGGCAGGCAGAGTATCCTGCACGCCCCAAGGACTCCTTGAGCACAGTTCCTCTGAGGCTGGAGGCCCAGGGCAGGACTAGTAGGGGAAGGTGGGCGGATGCCCTGGCTCAGTGGCCTGCAAGGGCAGTGTCTGTGTGCAGAGAAGCAGAGGGGGGGCCCCCTCGGCTGGACATGCACTGTCAGTCAGAGGCAGGCTCCGTGGGACCCCTTGGAGGGGACTTTCTTGCCCTGCACTGTACCAGCTTGGTCATGCTTGTCCCTGGGAGTCCCTGGGACACCCAGCCTGCACACGGGCAATCTGGAGGATGGAGGGGTCATTGCCCCTGAGTGGGGCCCCAACGGTGGGCCAGGAGTGGGCAGACAAATGTCCAGCCTCCTGTCTGCAGGGCGCACTTCTGAGGGTTGCTCAGCTCCTGAGTTACAGCCTCTGAGACCCTGAGTCTTGTGCATCCAAGGTGACATCTCCACTGAACTCGGCCAGCCCCTTACTCATGGCATGGATGAGAGTCAGACTGTAGATAGTCTAAGTGTGAATGCACCAGCTGGGCGATCTGAGCCTGCTCTTGTCCTGTCTGAGCCTCACTTGCCACATCCATGAAATGGGGGCAGTGACACCTCACACCCTGAGCTTTGCTGAAGTGTGAACAAGGTAAGGGACTTCCCTGATAGCTCAGTTGGTAAGGAACAAGGTAAGACTGGATGAACATGAGACTGCAGTTTGAGTGCTGCATGTGGGGTGGGTGAGGGCTGACCACACAGTGCTTATTCAGCCCCGGCATCCATTTTGCTAGAGGACCCTTATTCTCAGGCTCCCGTCAAAGTCTCCCAGCAACTGTACCATGGAGGTAACAGCCTCCGCTCTGCCATTTCCTCCTCCGCCTTGCCACTGCCCGCTGCCCGCTGCCCGCTGCCCGCTGCCCGCTGCCCGTGCTGCCTGGTCAGTCTGGGAGGTGGGCCCTGCTCCAGGCAGAGCTGCTTGCAGGTGCCGTCTGGGAGGGCGGGCTGGCTTGGATGGATGACCCGGCCGTGCTGCATATGGAGGGGGGCCTGTGGAGAGACGGAGAGAAATACGGCCTCCTGTCTTAACGACCGCGTGGCTGCAGCCAGGTGCGCCGACCACGCAGGCTCTTTATGTGCCGTCATAAAACAAGGGCTGTAATTCTCTCCCGTCACTGCCTGGTGCAGCCTCGGGGACCGCGCGTGCTCTCGGTCACTTCTGGGGGACACGATTCCTCCTTGGAGCCGAGTGGCCTGGAGAGTAACGTCCCTCCCAGGGGACAGCAGTGTCAGTGAGGGGGCACGAAGCTGTGAGGGGGAGGGTCTGGTGAGGCCAAGGGAGTTGTCCAGTGGGGACGGGTGAGGGGCATGCTGAGGACCCGAGGGGTGTGCGGCCTGCTTAGCCAGCTGGGCTGGGAGAGACGGCTAGGGGACGGCAAACCCCACTCCTGCTGCACAGCTTGGGGCCCGGCGCCTCCCTGCTGCGCTCAGGTGTGTCTGGGGTCTGACAGTGCCAGTCGGTGCCAGAGCCGGGGTTCTGGGGTACACCTTCAGTGCCAGGTTGGGGGGGTCCTGCCCTGACCCAGGAGGAGTCCGAGTGCCGCGTGGTCTTGCAGTGGGGGGTGTCTGTGTGGACGTCCCCAGATCAGACATGTTTGAGCAGATGGTTTACCTCCATGTGTCTGTCCAGGAGAGGAGATAGGAGGCAGCGCTGTCTGAGATCATTTTGACCTGGAGTCCCCTGGGAGTCTCTGCTTGGGAAGGACTGCTCTTCGTGCACCATTTGATGATGTGGTTACTCAGAGGGGTGGCTGAACCTGTGCAAAGTCATGCTCTCTTCCCTGCCCCATCATCACCACCTGTGGGCCAGGGGGGCCGTGGGGCGTGGACAGCGAGGCTCGACCCCGGGCAGAGGCCCCAGACGTGCCCAGGCAGAACCAAGGCAAGGGAAGGGGCCAGCATCCCCTAGGAGAGCAGAGGGGCCCGGCCGGGGTGGGCAGCCTGGAGCCCACTGGCCAACCAGAGCCGCGAGAGGTGGCCAGGGGTCGGGGGCAGAAGCTCCTGCCAGGACCAAGTGCTGACCTGGGTGTGGCCACTGGGTCAGGGGCCCTGGAAGGGGTGGGATTTGCCTGTGGAAGCAGGGAGGCCCCATCAGTTTACCCAATACCTCTAAGGGGCCCCTCTCAGCCTGGTTTTATGGAAGAGAAGGGTTACTCACACCATGGACTGAGTTTGGCCAGGTTGGGGGGTGGTGGTGGTGAGGAGGGGCGGCCAAGGGTGGTGGCCTCAGCAGGGCTGCAATATGTAAGGTCTAAGTTGGAAGCCTGGCTCTGTCTTCGTTATAAAGACAGAGTCTTTTTTTTTTTTTAAGATTATTTGATGTGGACCATTTTAAAAGTCTTTGTTGAATTTGTTACAACATTGCTTCTGTTTTATGTTTTGGTTTTTTGGCCCCAAGGCATGTGGGATCTTAGCTACCCCACCAGGAGTCAAACACTCACCCCCTGCATTGGAAGGCGAAGTCTTGACCACTGGACCTCCGGGGAAGTCCCGAGACCACGCTCCTGATGCAGACCTGCCTGCACTGTGGCCTTGACCCAGGAGGCCGGTGCCCGGGCGCCTGAGCTTCCTGACTGAGCAGGTGCTGGATGTGTTGGGCTCAAGTCCCCGTGGACGCGCCTCCTCGAGCCCCCGCTGTGGGGAGGCGGGGACCTCGCAGCTGCCCCTGTGGGCAGGGGACCAGTCTGCTCTCCTTTGGCATTTCCTCACCTCCACGCCCGCTCCTGCCCATCTCGTTCTGCTTGCCCTTTCCGCTGTCGGCCCAAAGGCTGCTCTTCCACGATTTTGCCCTCCATCTCCTAAGACAGTTCTCCTCTCCTAAGATGGTTCAACCACAGCAGCATCAACAGCCTCAGACTGCAGACCTACTATCTGTCAGGCACATGCTGGGGCCAGAGTGTAGGCCCCACAGCAACTGGGACCTGTTCTCTTGCACCCCTCGTGGTGCCTAAGAACCCCTTGCTTGGCTGCAGGGCCCAGGGTGAGTGCCCAGGGACCCTCAACCTGAATTCTTGGGCTATTGGCCTTCCAGGGCTCTCATCTGAGTGGCTCACAGATGGTTCAGAGGGTCCAGGACCACCTGGAATCATCCACCGATTTCCTGTGTCCTCCTCTCCAGGGGAGGTTCCCAGATCTCAGCAGGAGATCAGAGGGGCCCATGCTGAGAAAGGATCAAGCATCCTTGTTCCGTCCACTGCCCCAGGTGGGCACACCCACACCTGTGTCTTCAATGGCCACCGTCCTGCCAAGCCCCTGATGCCAGGGCAGACCCCTAGCCCACTGCACAGCCTGAGTGCTAGAGCTCCAGACAGCTCATGGAAGCCTCCAGGCACCTGGCTGGGGGTCCCCAGAGACCTCCAGGCCGACGGGCACAGTCTTGGGACTGGAGTCAGGCCTGAGTCCACGGCTGGGGCCTATTTGCCAGAAATGTGTTGGAGGAGGTCTCCAGGGTTTCTGGGGCCCTCCCCAGTGGGTAATGTCCAGTCTGTCCTGAAACATACTGCAGACAGGCCTTCCTGCCTTTTCCAGGTCATGGGTCAGTGAAGGTATCAACCCCCTCCGGGAGGCACTGCCCTGCCCCATCTGCTGGTGAGCCCCCTTTTGGCCTTTTCATGGCCTCCAGGCCTGTGTTGTGGACGGGTGATGCGCTGACGTCTGAGAACAATGCAGGCGTGTGCAGGGTGGGGGTGGGGCAGGGAGGGCGAGAGGGAGGCAGTGGCCTGATTATTATGGAGCTGGCACTGCTCATAAAGTCCAATCAATTTAAAGCCGTTTTCTGGGTATTAAACTTCACTACCTGCTTCATAACCTGGTCGTGAGCATGGGAGCGGGTGTCTGAGCCCGAGCCATCCCTCAGAGGTGCCTGGCCTGAGGCCAGCAGGGGGTCTGAAGGTGCCAGGGCCTCCCATGGGGATGCTGGGACCAGGTGGGCTGAACTTGGCCCCAAACTGTGGACGGAGAAGCTGGTTCTGGGCCTCCTGGTGGGCCTGTGTTGCTTCGAGCAGGGTTGGGGAGGTGGCCCAGTCCTCAACGCCTGGGAAAGTCTACTGGGAGGTGGGTGGGCAGAGCCAGCGGTCCCCCGGTGGGTGGCCGCCCCTGTGTGAGCTCATTGTGCCCAGCAGCTCCTCCTAGCCTCCGCAGGGGCCGGGCAGGGGCCTCCCCCATCTGTGTGTGGGAAGCGCAGGCTCCGAGGTACCACGAACGGGCGTGGGTCACATCACTGTGATAGCAGACTTCGGTGCCCAGCGGGCCCACATATCAGACACACAGCAGGTCAGTCACATGGGGTCCTCTCCCCCTCCATGCCCCGCGGAGTGAGACAGCCCTGAGTCTGGGCAGAGGTGAGCACTCCTTTCATGATGACAGGAAGTGGCAAAGCTGCTTGCTAGTTCTGTTCCTCCCCATGGACATGGGGGCCCCTCTGAGCCAGGAGACTCCTGGAGTGAACCCCAGTTCCTGACAGGGGTGATTCATAAATAGGGGAGGGATGGCCATGGGGCCCTGGGGTCACCTGCTCCTTCCAGACCCTGGTGGAGTCCATCTGTCTCCCCATACCAGCCTCCCAGCTCTGTTCCTGGTGACCTTGACTTGCTGGTTCATGGAGCCTGGAGTGGGCCCGGCTCAGCCCACTTGGCCTGGGCTAACTCTGTTTCCCAAGGAGGGGACGGGCCCTCATCCAACCTCTGGGGGGAGTGAAGGGGACAGTTCCCAAACTGGGCCTGGATTAGGCTCAGGGAGGCAGCTCCAAGGTGCCCCGTGGGCCTGCTCCTCTTTTCCTTCATGTAGCGACCTTTCATTAGTCACTGCCTGTATGAGAGACATGGTGACAGGAGGCAATGAGTAGGGGACGTGTCTGTCCTGGAGGGAGAGAGGAGCCACAGTGGATAATCCTAGCCCAGAGGGGGATTTTCTGTGATGGGGGAAGCCCCGGGGCTCATGGGAACCCAGAGAAGACTCTTGAAATGGGTGTCGAGGGATGAGTAGGAGTTTGACAGGAAGGAACAGGGAGGGGCATTCAGTGCATATTGACATGCCTGTGCAGTGGCAGAGGGACCATCCAGCTGTGTGAAGCTCCAAATAACCCCAAGGAGGAACTGACAGAGGGGCGAGTGCACTGAGCGAGTCCAGAGGGGGAAGAGAGGTGTGTATCTGGGAAGGCTTCCTGGGGGAGGCAACTCTGATTCAAGGCCCAGGAGGGTTGGGAGTGTTACAGGTGGATCTTCCAGCTGAGGGACTGCATGGCCTTTCACCAGATCCCCTCCGACCCCCAGGTTTGTCTTCACAGGATCACCATAGCATTCATCTCCTTTGTCTTTGCAACACAGCCTAAACCGACCCTGGTGGGACTACATCAGAGACAGCTGAGACCTCCTGGAATTATACACATCCTGCCCAGGGAACAGAGGGGTTTCCCGCCCCAGCTGGGGTGCTAACACCCTGCAACTCAGCCTGTGGGGGTCCAGGCCTATGGACAGACCATGGGAAACCATTGTCCCTTAGAGGGGTGAGTGGCCCAGTGACCACAGCTGGCTCTGTCCACAGATACCTCATTGAACAACAACTGAAACCAATGAAGCTACGTGTCTCTAGGGCAAGCGCTGTGCCCTGGGCCTGGGCACTCTGCTGTCCCGTTCTCTATGATCCCTGCCTGATAGCCGGGGCGTCCTTAGATGAAGAGGAGGCTGGATGAGATCGAGTGACCAGCTGAGGCGCCAGTCGCACTGAGCAGGGGTGTGAGGGCCTGAATCCGGTTCTCTGGGGCCAGACACCATGTTACTTCCAGGCTCCTGGGTGGAGTGGGTCATGCACTATGACCTCTTGTCCCAGGCCTTGGCTTCCCCGCCTGCCAAGGGGGAGGGGTGACCTGGTTGCTCTCTGGGCTCCTTGCCAGGGCCGATCTGCCCTCACACCCCGGGCAGGCCCTGCCTGTGCCCCTCAGCCAGAGCCTGGTCCCTGCCCAGCTGGCGGTGTCCCTCTGCCTCCAGAACCCAGGCTGGCCTCCTGCCTGGGTCCCTGTGTCCCCCGGAGGA